AAAAAAAAAAAAAAAGAAATAAAACAAAGCAACATACAGAGAAAGACATGCTCTTCAGGGCCTATTATTATCGCTATTATTGCCATTTATACAGTGCTGGGGACATTTTGAAGTAAGGGCTTAGACAAGTATCCTCTTGAGATATTGTAACTTTATGATTCTATGATACCAAGGGAAAACATTCTACTAAATTTGGTCACAGGGGGTTTTACCTGCAACCCATGTGATTTAAGCTTCAGTCCTAACATGTAAATTAACACATCAATGTACCAAGAAGTTTCAAACACCACGATCATTTGATATGAAATACTTGTCACTAAACGGTACTTCTGATTTTTTTTCAAGGGCCTTCAACAGCACACTATTAGCACAATAGCTTGTAGTACCAGTGCTCTGAAAGCCAAAGACTCCCTTCGGAGGTCCAAGTATACAGGGAGATGGCTTACCTAAGTTTGTTGTTGCAATAGGAGCAACGGAAGCAGCTGATGTGAAACACCTGCTGGTTGGCCAAGAGACGCTCCATCGGGTAGACTGTCTTCTGACATTCCACGCAGGTCTCTCTTGCAGGTGCCTGAAACTTCTAGGAAAAGGAAAAGGACAACTTTAACTAGCAAAGGCAGTGATGAGTTGGTACTCTGCCGAGATGGGCCCTGGGATTTACTTTGTTATCTAAGGGCTCCCTTACCTGGTCTGTCAATTCTCATAGGAACACTAAGCCTGCTACGATTCTATCAGCTGACTCTTTAAAGCCAAGAGGCTCTTCTGAATTCCTTTCCCAAACTGTCTGGCTGCCCTAAGTGTAGCAGCCACTGAGGATGGGTGGAGCTAGGGCTGGACTGTAGAGAAAGGCTCAGACAGATACCACACACACAAAAAGTACAGACAAAATGTTTCTGCGGACAGGAAATTAGGAGAAAATGTCATCACACACAGAAGAAAGAGGTTTGATTGTTTGATTCACATGCCAAGTAAAAGCAGGACGGACTTTTATAAGAACAGATTGGCTTTGAGAATTAGGAGAAGACACTTTGATAAAGCATCTTTTATTCTCCTCTGCTATCATCTTGACTTGTTCAATCATCTAGGCATAATACTTTTAAATAAGTCAGAACTGACACATAAATGGAACAATTTAAAAGAGACACAAACTATTTTATTAGGACTCCAGAAGAAGGCATAGCACAACAAAGCTATAGGTTGTATAATCTTTTCAAAAACCAGTGGAGAATAAAACTAATGTAATTGGGAGTGGGAGGTTATAACAGACTGGGAATTCATGAACTGTTTGTAAAAAGTGTAGAATAAGGGTGGGGTGAGCACAGCTGTTCTACCAGGTAAACCCAGTCCTAAAGAATATAAAATAGCTGATATTCTATCACTGACGAAAGCCAGAATTCCAAAACTATAAGTTTTTACATGATAAAAAATGGTTATATGGCTATTAGGGGTGGGGTTAGAGGTAGGTGTAAAAAGTCCCTTGACTTGCCCCAACAGAAACACCTCAATCAGAAAATGCAGGGGCTGGCCCAGTGGCATAGTGGTTAAGTTCACATGCTCCACTTTGGCGGCCCAGGGTTCATGGGTTTGGATCCCAGGCTCGGACCTATGCATCACTTATCAAGCCATGCTGCGGCAGCGTCCCATATATAAAGTAGAGGAAGATAGGCAAGGATGTTAGCCCAGGGCCAATCTTCCTCAG